ACTACTTATGACTACTGAATCCACAAACAAAGTAAAAATATTGAGTGAGTGATTTTAGTGAGGAAAAGGGTTATTCAACAAGTGCATAAAAATAATACAAGTAGATAGTCAGGATTAAACGACAAAACGAGTCTGGTAAAAGTACAAATATAAACTTTTATTATTATTAAACAAGTAAATTGTCTCGACATTGGAGACCATCAGTAAAGTTACTGGATATTTGCAATTAATGAAAAGGTTGTGACAAGTGGTCACTGAAGGAATGTTAGTGTTCCGCGCCAAAATAGAAAACCAAGATGGCTAAGGCGGGAAAGGTTCTTCAGTAAGAAAGTTCCAGAACAGTCAATTTATACAGAATATTATATATACAACAAAGAAATTACTCACTGCGAGTTTTGTTAGTGTGAGTGTAATGTTATATTTTTAAGGTACTGGTTCATAATGTTTAGAGTTCAACGGATATGAGAAGTTCTCATTCTTATTCCAGTTCGTTCATCTCCAGGAGTCTTCCAGTTCCACATACCCTCGCCACCAGCAATGATATGCAATAAACTGTCCTTTTCAGGAAAACGCTCTTAGACAACTACCAAAACTGTCCTTTTCAAGACAACAATACTTGATGGCTACAAAATTGTCTTTTTTCAGGACAACACTTTTCAACGACTACAAAACTATCTTTTTCAGGACAACGATTTTCGATGGCTCCAAAATTGTCCTTCTCAGAACAATGTTCTTCGCACGCTCTACATGAACATGCAGAGATAATTTTTTGCATAGTGCACTGTAACCTTATTTTTGTCGATGTATTTTCTCTAACAAAAATATACCTTTTTTTTTTACTCAGGTCTTCGTTTTTTGTTATTTCTTTTTTTTTTTTTTTTTGTTTTTTGTTATTGTCTTCCGTAATTCAATATCTGTGGGCCAAATATATAACCCGCAAAATATTTAATGCGATAACATCTGTCATCTCGACAAACTAACTGGGGACAAATAACGAACTAAAACTCCACCTTCTTCCTCTTTAGTAAGGTTTGTCTTTTTGTTATCGCTCCTAATCCATGTTGTGTCAACCATTTACACAAGTTTATTTGGTAGGTCACTTGTTTTTTTCCTGTTCCTCTTGCCTTCAATCTTTCCTGTGAGTCTCAAATTCTCCAAAGCCCTCTCTCTTCATTATGTGCACTAAAAATTTTAATTCAATCTAAGTACAAGTGTCTTTTTTGTTTCCATTTTCTTTCAAACTTCCTCATTAATCCCATGTTCAGTCCATGGTATTCTCAGCATTTTTCTGTAGAACCACATTTCTATTGCATTAATTCTTTTTTTTTTCATCAAAACTGTCTTTTTCAGGACAACGCTCTTCAGCAACACCGAAACTATCCTGAAAAGAAGAACGCTCTTCTCACCTTCCAAATGAGCATGTAAAGATATTTTGTTGATGCATTCTCTTTAACGAAAATAAACTTAGCAATATTTTTTTTTTTACTCAACTCTATGTTTTGTTTGCTTTAGTCATTCAGTATCCGTTTGGTTTGGTTTGGTTTGTTTTATTTTACGGCATATCAACCTCAATGGTTATTTAATGCCGGCATTTTTATTGCTGGTAATATTTTTTTCCAAAATGCATTGCTGGTAATATTTTTTCCAAAAATGTATTGCTGGTAATAATTTTTCCTTCAAAAATTTATTCTTGGTAAATTTTTTTACAAAAACATATTGCTGATATTAAAACCAATTTTTACACTTTCATAGTGTTTTCACCCCAGTTTGGGGGTTAACTATTTGCCCATAGCTGGGACCCTAGCAGGTGCTACCACCCTGGGTCAGGGTCAGGGTGGACATGGGAACACCAGCAGTTAAAAGGTGGTTCCACGCTTCTCAAAACCTTTTGATCCTTCTTGCTGTTAGATGTAGTTTATCGTCATAAAAAGGAAGCGGGTGTTGCCCAGGACGCTTCAATATCCGTTTGCAAGACGATATGACATCCGCAACAAATTTACATGGTATTAAAAATGAATACAAGTGTATGTGCAGGCATATAGACCTCAGTAAATTGATTTTTTTTTATTCTCCAAGAAACGAAACACTGACATATTTACAAAGTCACAATCGGAACAAAATCTGATGGAACTGCTGATACGACTATCGTGTTTCTTTCGGCATGCAACATAAAAACCTTTCAGTAGTACGACAGTGAACCAATATGGTGTTGAATATTTATTACAATGATACGAAAATGTTAAAGTTCCAACAGATATGACTTTCGATTGTTTGTCTGAACGTATTTTTCGTAATTTCTAATAATACGTATACGAACTTAGAAATAATAAAAAAAAAAAAGAAAAAAAAAAAGCTATAGGGGGAGGGAGAAGATGATATAGATTCATAAAAGAACAGAGTGGGTCCTATAGCTTTGGGACGCAACCAGTTTAGGAGGGGGACAACTCTGAATTCAAAAAACCCAACTATTGGTTAAATAACCTCACAAAACCGCAATTGGCAAAGTGAGTACGGCTACACTCTTTTAAACATGGTCAATCAGGAAAGAGACCCCCAACATGTGTGAAAAGTTCCTGGATCTGAATTTAGAGATATAACCCGACAGATGGATTTCATATAACCCGACAGATGGATTTCATAATTCATGACGAGTGGGTATATAAAAATTGTCACTTTTGTCTGTGCAAAATATCGACCAAGAATGATATCAAGTGGACATTTCCCAGTTGACGTTGCTGCATTTTTAAACATCGGCCGGATAAATTTAAGAAATTCAAAACCAGCAAATAAGATTTTTTTTTTTTTTTGCAGTGAGGCTTAACCTCTACAAGGCCCGCGGCCACTCGAGGTAGAGGATTACGTTAGGAAGCAGTTTGTACAGATAGGAGGGGCTGATATCAGTTAATCCTAGACATGAACTGGTTAAGATTGTAGTGAACGGGAAAACATCCTCTTTGGGGTCGATTCCACAGAGCAGTGATTCCCGGGGAGAGGCTGCTCGAGTGGAACTTATTTAATACCAATTGAATACTATAGAGAGAATATGGGTGATTTGCTACAATGTAAGTGGCATGTTGGGTCCTTGTTTTGAAGGTTAAATCTGGCGGTACCAAAGAATGTAGTTCGTCCGAGCACTTGCCATGGAATTAGTGATAGAGCAGCGAGAGTTTTGGCACATCCCGCCTGTGAGAGAGAGAGAGGTTGGAGGGTGGAAAATAGTTCGTCACCCACAAGGGCTCGGAGATACTTTTGCGCTCTATTCAGACTGAAGAGTGCGGTCTGGGCAATTCTCAAGCAAATATGAAAACAGTACTCCATTTTCGGTCTGATTTGGTTCTTATAAAGTTAGAGGATAGCGTGTGGAGTCAGTACGAGGAATCGATCATTTTACTTCCATCTTTAAAGATGTTACACAAAATAAAAAAGAAAATGGATATAAATCCTTTTTCCTGTAAAAAAAAAAAAAATTAATTAAAAAACAAAATAAACAGAAAGCCTTAATCAGCTGTCACCGATGCGAGAATGACAAAATGAGACCAGCCGCTTATTTTTTTTTTTTTTTTTTGCCAGGAGCCGGCGTCATCGTATGGCTTCGATAACTTGTGAAAACAAACATGGAGTCAAGGTGGAAAAAGTGTCGTTTGTTATAACATTATTTATAGGTTTTTAGACGCATTTTTCTAATTTATTTTTTTTTCTGTCAAAACTGTCACTTTTCTATCTTTCCTCTTATTACTTTTCTGGGATTTTAACACGTTATGAGCCAGATAACGGCTTTATACTGTTGGTATCCCCGCCATATATGACATGACCTATAAAGCATTTTTCTGAACAACCAATCATCATTTAGTTAGTTCCTTTTGTTCCCCCCTGGACCCCTTTAATACCACAGACGAATAGTAAGAGTTTCACTGGGAATTTGGATTCACAATCGTATAAACACTTTTAGGATAGTCCGATCCGGATTTGAATCAAGAAATTCCTTCTCTTAGACTGGTTGCCATCCAAGGTAATAGAAGCTAGTCTGTCCTGTCATTTTACCCATAGATTGGTTCATATCTTTCCCACGTAAGTGAATGCAATGAACTCGACTGGAATTTGAACTCGGCTCTCCGATTCCTTAACGCGAGCTTCTAATTACTCCAACGTACCTCCACTAGTGGAATCATCATATAGCTATGAATTATTATACGGGAATATCGATTCCTGCCATATATCGATTTCCTGCCAAACTGCCAAGGATCACATAAGTTTCGTTAGTGTTAACCCCGGCCGCCGAATGGAAAAGCACGTAACCTCCTACCTGTATACGGATTTGAAATTTTTTTAAAAGATTTGGAAAAAAAAAGTAAAATTTATATAAACACCCGCACCAGAGAGGAGTCGGGCAGCCTCTCACACAGATAATAATGTAAGGTCCACGTTTCTGACGACTCCTCAGACTGGCAACCGAGCAAGTAAAGTGATGAAAAAATATGTAAAGTTAAATTCGAAACATTCAAGCCTCGATTTATTCATTAATTTTGAACGTTAACCAGCACATCGATTTCATTAGGGGTATATACAAAATAAGGTTAACTTTCGTCAGGGGTTCACAATACGCATTTCTTGAGAACCTTGTTTCCAAATTTTTACTTGTGAGTCAGTTGACTTGTTCATATTTAGTACTGCTCTAAAAGGGTTGAAGCAAAAAAACTGTACTACACTGGAAACTAGGTGCGTACACGCTATTCCAACTCTCGAAACCTTTGTATAGACATAACACCTCCTATATATTCAAAATGGTCAGTGTAAGAGAGAAATTATATACTTACTACTGCTGGGCGTCTGCACGCGCATGGATACGCCCACACGCTTTTCGATCATGTATACGGTATCTTCCCCGCCACCAACCCTATTAGGCACGAACCAAATATTATTCTATGATCTTTCCGCCTGAAACAAATGCTTGGGTATAATTCTTCCGCACGGCAAAACAATAATGGAGTCCCTGGGGCAAAATGCAGCCGTCTCTTCATTCTTTACCTCTTTTTCCTCAATTTGCTCATTTGTTTATTCAATCGGACACACAGCCAATCAATAACCATTTTTCTTTCCCTCCATTTCCCAAACCCACGGCCGCTATCACTTTTTGTTCCTTTCTCTCTTATCCCGTTAACTCACCTTTTCTCTCGGATTTTTCCTTTTATTTTGCTTCAATCTTTTTCTATCCCTTTCATGTATTTACTCTTTTTTCTACTTTTTTTATCATTTTTCTTTTTCAGTGTTTTACACCCTCTTTTTTCATAACTCTTTTTTCTCTTCCCTTCATTTATTTGCTTTTCTCTTTCTTATTATTTTTACGTTCAGTTTTTTCACCCGCTTTTTTCTTCACTTCTTTTATTTTCCCTTCGCTTATTTGCTTTTTTCATTCTTTTTATAATTTTCTTTTTCTGTTTTTTTCACCCTCTTTTTTCATAACTCTTTTTTTCTCTTCCCTTCGTTTATTTGCTTTTTCCCTTTCTTTATATTATTTTCACGTTCAGTTTTATATACCTTCTTTTTTTCTTCCTTCCTTTTTCTCTTCCCTTCGTTTATTTGCTTCTCTCTTTCTTTTTATTATTTTCCTTTTCAGTTTTTTCACCCTCTTTTTTCTTCCCTTCGTTTATTTGCTTATTTTCTTTCTTTTTATTATTTCCCTTTTCAGTTCTCTCTGTAGTATTCCCTCGGTATGAAGTAAGTTCAACTCTGACAGCTTCTTCTCGCGAACCATTGCTCTGTGGAACCCTCTTTTTCTTTCTTTTTTTTTTTTTATTTCGCATCCTCTGCACGGATACGAACCTGCGTCTCGTTTTGTACGAGAAATCATCGTTAGATCCCACTTGCTTTTCACCAGCTGGGCCACGATGAAAATCATCACTTAAGCAATTTAACTTCAAGCAGATGTCCCTCGTTCAGATTCCCGGAAGTCCATATCTGCTCAGCTTTCGAAAAATAATTTTTAAAAAAGTCATGCATATTTATTTATCAATATTATTAGTTGTGATGCAATGGAATAATCTGTCACCCTCATGAGATGAGTGGCACCACTATATGTGGTATCCACCTATAAGTATCGCTTAGGGCAGCGGACAGAAGTTCCGAGCTGGGATCTGCGAGACTAGCGACCTTCCGATAACAGCACGCACACAACTGTACTGACTTGCGATGACCATGCGCATAACTATTAATTTCTTGCTTGTTGTACTGGTTTCTACAATAAACCTGTTACTATTTATCCACCGTGTTTGTCCATTCCATATTCCTATTAGCACGGAACATAACAAGTTGATACCAATATCTAAATAGATGCCCCTGCCGGAACATTCAAGAAATGCCCTTTCCCAAGGTATTACCATGTTAGTGAATGTAATGATTCGTGACTTATATATATATATATATATATATATATATATATATATATATATATATATATATATATATATATATATATATATATATGAACGTGGAATCGTATATAGCGACTTGAATTGAGGAATTGGAGAGCCGAGTTCGAATTCCTGTCGAATCACCAAATCCATGATATTCACGTACGTTCTAATACCCCTGGGAACTAGGAACTGAGCTGCTTGACCCTCATACGTCGAATACAACTGGAGAGTCTATATATATATATATATATATATATATATATATATAGTACTTTCGGTGAGAGATAATACGTATATTTATTAATATAAAATTAATATCTCTGTTATATTACATCGAGCACTGTTTCATTACCACCAACTGTCTCTCTCTCTCTCTCTCTCTCTCTCTCTCTCACTTATCTATCTATCTATCTATCTAGATAGATAGATAGATAGATAGAGAGAGAGAGAGAGATGAAGAGACTAACATAGAAAGATTGAAAAATGTACATAGACAGAAAGACATGAGATAGATAACGTCCACAGATATTTAACAGAATAGATAGATAGATAGATAGATAGATAGATAGATAGATAGATAGATAAGGTACATGAGAGAAAGAGAGAGAGACAGAGAGACAGAGAAACAGAGAGAGGATATAGATACGATACAGAAATAATGAACAGGATGAGACAGATAATAGATAGAGAGAGAAAGAGAGAGAGAGAGAGAGAGAGAGATGAAGAGACTAACATAGAAAGATAGAAAGATGAACATAGACAGGAATACATGAGATAGATACGGTCCATAGATAATTAAGATAGATAGATAGATAGATAGATAGATAGATAGATAGATAGATAGATAATGAAGAGACTGAGATAGATAGATAGATAGATAGATAGAGAAAGATAGATAGATAGATAGATAGATAGATAGATAGATAGATAGATAGATAATGAAGAGACTGAGATAGATAGATAGATAGATAGATAGATATAGATAGATAGATAGATAGATAGATAGATAGAGAGAGAGATAGAGAGAGAGAGATGAAGAGACTAACATAGAAAGATTGAAAATGAACATAGATAAAAAGACATGAGATAGATACCGTCCACAGATATTTAACAGAATAGATAGATAGATAGATACGTATTATCTCTCACCGAAACTACACACACACACATATATATATATATATATATATATATATATATATATATATATATATATATATATATATATATATATATATATATATCGCACATATAGAGATATGAATAAGGGAAATACAAATGTTTCGCCACCTCTTAATTGTTGTTGTTCCCGGGTTCACCCTGATTCTCCAAGCAGAAATAAAAATACCAGGGAAATATAAAATTCCTATTTATAGTAAAATTACCAACAATACCTATTTATAGTGAAATACTTTATTTAGAAAAAAACATTAACTTTTGGTATTAAATGACCAAATATATTGATATGCTGTAAAACAAACCAAAAAGATAAATACGGACTATCTACTAATTCGCTGAATAAAACAGCATAAAATAATGAAAAAAAAAAAAAACGCTCCAAACTCAATAAAAACAAAATTTTATCGTCAAAATGTTTATGTTATTAACAAGAAAGTATTTTCTTTTTTTTATTAGATCTTTTAATCCTTTCTAGCACTTTCGAAATTTTGCTTAAAAATCTTTTTTTGTTTTTTTTGTTTTTTTTGCGTTTGCGGTCGACGTAATATTTATGATGAGTGTTTTAGCGCCTTTTTTCCGATGGAAAAGGAATTAATTTGGAAATTTTTGCAAAAATCAAATAATTCGCGGATTTTTCAAGACGTATTCACAAATAAATGGAAGTTTTTTTGGGGTTTTTTTTCAGAAAATTTTGGTTAAAACATATATATAATTTTTACATATGTTAACTTACTTAATTTTATGAAATTTCAAAAAATTAAATTTTAATCGTAAAATTTGTTTAATTAGTTAAAAGAAGGACTCCTTGGAGAATCTAAATTATCAATATTTTTTCAAACTCATTTCCCAAAAATCTGCTCCGAATCGTAAAATAAAAGATGCAATAAATCTGACATTATTTAATTAGAAAAGCATTTAATTGCTTTTATATATAAGATTTATTAAAAAAAGAATTTTTTAAATTTTCTGATGAATAATAAATTTTTTAAGAATTGCTTTTTTTTAAAATTTTAATATTAATATTTTATTATAATAAATGCTTTGAATTTTTAAAAAGTCTTTTAAAATTCTGCATTACTTTAATTGCATTAGGTGATATTATTAAATGAAAACTATATTTACTAATCAAAAATTGAAAAGGTTAATACAAATCATTTTGCATGACGATTTTTTAAATATTTTCTTTTTATTTATATAAATTAATTTATAAATTTATAGAAAATAAGAGCGATGACGAACGTAAATTTAAAGTCAACATTCCTAAAAATTAGGTTACGGGGAATATTTTCAAAATTACTAAATATTATATTAAAAAAAAAGGCGATTAGGTCATTTTCTTAAATTATGTTTTACAGATAAAGCCTCCGTAGAACAACTGTCAATCTGTCACCGCCTCGTCAGTCACGTAAAACATGGCGACTGTCGGTTAAGTACAGCTGCTGTTTGTTTTAAAAACAGATTTCTTTGTTATTTTAAATTTAAAGTAAATAATATTTGTTCAAAATCAGATTAATTTTACTTTAAATCAGCTAATATTACTCAAATAAAGTTTCAAAAATGTTTATTTTATAATGGAAGATTTTTTTTAATACAGAGAATTACATTGCAATGAAAGACAGCTAAAAAAGAGCGCTCATCATTTTAGGAAAAAATCGATTCAAATCGATAAAATTTCTGTTTGAAATACACCAGATTATTTCGTTGTCTGGAAGTAGTAAATGTGATCCTTTAGCTTTCAATTAAAGCTATTAGGCTGGTGCAAAAATAATGACATAATAATGTCGTTTTTTGACGTTAAAAAATACGTCAAAAAACGACATTATTACGTCATTATTCTTGCACCAACCTAATAAAATAAAAGCTTTTTCATTTATGAAAATATAAAAAATAATGTTTAAAATAAATTTTTTATTTAAAAATATTTTTTATTTAAAAATATTTTTTATTTAAAAATATTTTTTAATTAAAAATTTTTTACGTATCGCGAATTGGGGAGGTATCTACACTATAATAACGTTTGAAGCAATATATATATATATATATATATATATATATATATATATATATATATATATATTTTATACCAAAAGTTAATATATATGACTTAAGCATGTGGCACATTCTGTTCCTCTGGCGAAATATATACATTACGAATTTTATTGTTGTTGCTTGCAAACCTAATAACTATTTGCTAATGGTGGGATTCAAATATTTTAGAAACAGATTCTTCTTTTGCCCCCTGTTTTTTTTTTGGTAGGGGGGTTCTCACTGAAATTAGGAACCGGTTCTCTGCTCTCGTTTTTTTTACATCCCTAAACGTTTGTCGGTGGCTATAAAAGCCAAGGGCATTTAAGAACTTGTTCTACGAACTTGTATCATTTTAGTGAAAGGTTTGTACGGACGCCTTAAAAACAATGACAGACATTAAAACTAACGCCTTAAAGCATTTAAAAGTAAGCCGTTTAAGGTAAATAAGGCATTTAAAAGTAAGGCATTTAAGATAAATAAGGCATTTAAGAGAAAGGCATTTATGATAAATAAGGTCTTTAAAAGGAAAACATTTAAAATAAGGAATTTAAAAGTTAGGCATTTAAAATAAATAATGGAATTTTAAAGTAAAGCATTTAAAATAAATAAGAAATTTAGAAGGAAGGCATTTAAAATAAATAAAACATTTAAAAGGAAGTCATTTAAAATAAATATGGAAGTTAAACGAAAGGCATTTAAGATAGATAAGGCATTTAAAAATAAAGCATTAAGATAAGTAAGGCATTTAAAAGTAAGGCATTTAAAATAAATAAGGCATTTCAAATTAAGGCATTTAAGATTAATAAATCATTTAAAAGAAATTAAAGATTAATAAGAAATTTAAATGTAAGGCATTTAAAAGTAAGGTATTTAAAATAAATAAAGCAATTAAACGTAAGGCATTTAAGATAAATAAGGCATTTAAAAGTAAGGTATTTAAAATAAATAATGCAATTAAGCGTAAGATATTTAAGATAAATAAAGCATTTGAAAGTAAGGCATTTAAAATAGGTAAAGCAATTAAAATTTAGGCATTTAAGATAAATAAGGCATTTAAAGGTAAGGCATTTAAAATAAGTAAGGCATTTAAACATATAATTGATAATATCTTCAATAAAATATCTTCAGATTTCATTCTTTTTGTTTTCACACATCCAAATATGGTAACTATTATAAAGAAACTGATTTTTTTTCTTTGGCGCACGTAAAACTATTATGAGGAAAGAAAGCTTGGAAAATCAGATACTCACAGGACAGATTGAAAGCAAGTGGAACAGAGGAAAACAACGTATTACAGAGTGAACTTAAATAAATGGATGGCGGAATAAAGGACACGGTACATAAAGGAAAATGAGAAGATAAATTAGGGGGAAGTTTTTGGAATATTTTTAGCAGATTAGAATTCTTGAGACATTTCCCTAACCATGACATTTGCTCTCATTTATGAAGCGGGGGGTTCTGTTCCTAATATACGTGTAGTATTAAATCAATCCCTGACGTCTAATATGTTACCTATACTAGCTTTTATTTACAAAAGTCAAGCTGTCCTGGGTATGACGATAAACTTCATCAAGGCCTCTGATCCGGAGGTTGTGAGAAGTGTGGAACCACGTCTTAATTGCTGTTTTTCCCAGGTCCACCCTGACCCGGAGTCGTAGCAGCTGTTAGGGCCCCAGCTATGGGTAAATAGTAAACCTCCAAAATGGAATCAAAACACTATGGTAGTATAAACATTTTTATAGTAAAAATTACGGCATTACATTTTCATAGAAAAAAATTAATGTCCCCAAGAAAATTTAATTTCGACATTAAATGACCCATAAGGAGTTGATATGCCACTAAACAAACTGAACTGAACAAATGTCAAGCTTGAAACTCTCCTTACTTCATTACTATCTGATTACGACTGACGCTGTCCTATGCTATTACAATTCTACTGGTCTCCTCACCGTAAGTTCGCACGACCGTTACGCCGTGCCAATACCTCATAAATAATGGACTATTCCGTTTTAACCGCCTGAAAGCACGGAACTGGCATATCAGAAACGCTACTTCAGTTCAGTGAGAAAAGGAAAGAAAGAAAGAAGTGTTTAACCTCTGTCTCAGTGAAAAGGAAAACAATATCGATTTTAGATCTTTTCACTTGTACCCCCTTACTTCTTTAAATAACGACCGGCATCCATATTTGTGATTGCTATTGCAATATTTTGTT